CACAGTATGAAGGAACTGGAAGGGAGGAGTTAAGAAAAATAAAGCAGTTTGTGTGCAGAGAACTCACGTGTTAGGAGTATTATTTCAAAATACGACAATTTCCTTTAAAAATAGCCTATATAAGCGTGTGTAACTGTGACAGAAATATTTCAGATAGGGTACTATTTGCTTAATTCAAGATACCATGTATGACATTTCTCTAACATGTTATTCAACCTCCAAGTATTTTGTATGAAAAGTCTTTCTACAACTGCCATAAATAAAGATCCCTTCATTCATTCGCTCCAGTTATATGCCATTATATGTTGACTCTCCTGTGCCAGATGTGTAAGTGAAGTGAGTGAGTCTCTCAAATACTCCTGCCAATTACCTGGACATTACTGGCCAGTTTTGTGGAAGGTACATAAGTAATTTGCCACAGCTGCTTTCTGTGTTATTTTGTGACAACCTAGGTTTCCTGGGTTCCTCCATCCAAGTGCTAACCAGATCCAACCCTGAAGAGCTTTTTTGATATAGCCAAAGTCATTCTGATGCTGATATATGCTGGAACTTCAAACCAAAGGGCCTGCTAGCTAATAAATTGTGATAGGTGCTCTGGTTCAGTCAATATTCGCACTTGACCTTCTCAACCAGCTTGTCAATGTTTCAGCATATTCCTTTACTTATGCCTTCCCATGGGAAGGAAGCTGCGCTTTAATTTCCCACAATCCCTTTTATCCATGGATTTTGGCTTACATTGCTAATCAAAAATTTATATGTGGTTGCTGTTTCCCCTCATCTACCCGGAACCCACTGTCATTAACACAGAGAATGGTAGATTTCTCTTTTCTGATTGAATTTAAAAGTTCTTAGGGCAACCTCACTATGATGTTGCCTGATATCAGCATTTCAGTCTTGGTGACAGCCAGAAATGTGGAGGTGTCTTTTGTTCAATGTGCTACCTTCTGGAAGCCTTCATTGTTACTCTGAACTGTTCCCAGTTTGAATTCTCTGGATATTTTGGAAACAGCCACAATAACACTACTTAACAAGAGGTGAAATTGGATATGGTATTAGAAAATGACTTGAGGAATAGAAATCTTTGCTGCTGTGACTACATATTCTGAGTCCTTGATTTCAACCCTTATAGCAATAGCACTTAAACTTATATACCGCTTTATAGTACTTTCCAGCCCTCTCAAAGCGGTTTACAGAGTTAGCATATTGCCCCCAACAATCTGGGTCCTCATTTTACCCACCTCGGAAGGATGGAAGGCTGAGTCAACCTTGAGCCTGGTGGGATTTGATCTGTCAAATTGCAGTAGGAGTAGCTTGCAGTACTGCACTCTAACCACTGCACCACCGAGGCTCCCTAATTATAGTTTAGTACTACTTACTTTCAAAGAAGAAAAAAGTTTTCATTAAATTAGTTCCAGTCTGTTAGTTATAGAAGGATGTCACATCTTATTAATGCTTTCTTTTTTGGGTTTCTTTTGGGCCTTTGTCCTGCCAATGTGTAATAACTTTTATTTCCTTTTTTTCAGTTACACATTTTAGTTATATAGCTAATTTTACATGGCTTGAAAAGCATGAATAAATGCAAAGATGCATTTTAGTTGTCTTCCTGTTGGTGTTATAAAGTTAGTGGGCTGGAAGAAGTCATTTTGCCACTTAATCCAACTATTTGACCAGTGTAGGAATGGCAGCCTATTCTCCTCTTGAGTATATCTAAATATACTTTCTTTTAAACAGATTCATTCTCATACTCCTCTTATTTTTGGAAGATAACATACTGTTATCTATTCTTCTTTATCCTATCTTCTAAAATCCATTCTTCTATCTTCCTATCTTAAGAACAAAGAGAATTTAAAAAGAGTGAGCTCATTTCAAAAGTTTGCAGAATGCTGTCATATCCACCATCGGTAACTATTTTCTCAAGGCTAAAACCCTACTCCATCTTCATAGGACCCAGGTTCTAGAATCTAGACCCTAAATCTCCTATTACTTTCTCTGAAACCATACCAATTGCTAAATGCAATTCTCAGCATGGAGTTTGACCAAACTAGAATAAAGTGGAAAATTACACCTCTGTTGATTGAGATCTAAAATTATCACTTGATTGTTTCATACTGAATTTGCAATCAACTACCAAGGTGACATAGTGTTAGAATAGTATTTCTGCTGACTGCCGGCTGACTGCAGTTTGGCAATTCGGATCTCACCAGGCTCAAGGTTGACTCAGCCTTCCATCCTTCCGAGGTTGGTAAAATGAGGACTCAGATTGTTGGGGACAATATGCTGACTCTGTAAATTGCTTAGAGAGGGCTGTAAAAGCACTGAGAAGCGGTATATAAGTCTAAGTGCTATGGCTACAAGTAGAAGACTTTGCTTACTACCAAGCCTAATTCCTGTTTCACACATTTGTCTTTCATTTCACAAGTGTCTGTCTGACTTATCTAAATTTCACTCAGATACTTTCAGTGTATTTTTCTAACCTAATAAGGTAGTTTTGAATGTTATTTTCTGTTTTCTGTTTGCTACTCCACCCAGTTTAATATCTGCAAATTTGAAAAGCATTCCTTGCACTTCTTTATCAAATCCTCCTCCTCCTCCTCCTCCTCCCATGTTGCTAGCCTTACAGCATTACCTTTAGTTCCATGAATGGGCTTGGCCCTACATAATTTCTTTGGAAATAAAAATGATGAATAGCTGCAGCCTGATGCTTTCCAATTTCCCAGGAAAAAGACAAACCTAAGCAGGGAGTTTGGAGGTTTTTTTAAAGGAAGAAAGACAATTAGAAGAAGTATCAGTTGCATTTTGTTAAGGCAGTATTTGTAACTGATTATGCCTTTTATGGTAGTCATCTTGCAAATAGGGAAGCTTCCCTGTATCAATCATTTTCAGTCATTTTGCCAGGGTGCAGAAAAGAAAACAGTCACAAGGATGATGCAATAGTTTTAAATAGTCTTTAAATAGTCTTGCTCCATTTTAAAAAATAGAATCTATTTTAATACTATTGTAAAATAAGGCAGTAGAGCTATGACTGTAAAACATATAAGCCTGTTTTTTCCAGGCTATGTCAATTTATATATATATATATATATTTTAATTTAAGCAAATGGTAGTTTCCCTAAGTTTCAATTAGGCTAATATCTTTGACCTAGCTTGTTTCAGTTTCATAAAGACCTTTCCAAATAATTAATGATCTGTTTCATTTATCTGCCTAATTTTTTTGAGAGGAAAATCATCTAGCCTTCTTATATTAGTTTATGTAGACGAAGTACGGTAATACAATCAAGAACACAATTGTGCTTCACGGGTGTCCACAGCAAACTGAGATTTCATTGTACGAAATGATGTGGCAAAAGCTTCTTGTATGTATGTGTGAGTGAAGTATCACAAAACAAGTATTAAAAGGGGGGAGATTGTATCATGGCATTGCAATACATATTCATTCACTCCCCTGGCAGAAGCCTGTTTAAAAAATGCCCATTTTAAAAAAGTAGCATGTTATTACATTAGGTGTTTCCTAATACATGTTCTTGAATCATTCTCATGCTATATTTCTTTAGTAAAGCTTTTAAATGTTATATATTTTGCCACGCTACAGTCTTCTTAAGATCTGTCTCCTATTATTTTGTTCTCTTGTCAGTATCACAGACTTGCTTATAAGTTTATATCAAGTGACTGGTATTTATTTCTTTTGAAGTACAAATAAGTCTTTGACTTACAACAGTTCATTTTAGTGACTGTTTGAAGTTACAACGGCACAGAAAAAAGTGACCTATGACCATTTTTTCACAGTTATGACCATAGCAGCATCCCCATGGTCACGTGGTTTACATTTGAATGCTTGACGGCTGGTTCATATTTCTGTCCTAGGGCAATGTAATTCCCTTTTGTGACCTGCCAACAAGCAAAGTCAATGGGAAAGCCAAGTTCACTTAAGAACTATGTTATTAATTTAACAACTGCAGTGATTCACTTAACAAATGTAGCAAGAAAAATCATAAAATGGGGCAAAACTTACTTAACAGATTTCTCACCTAGGAACATAAATTCTGGGCTCAATTGTGGTCATAAGTCAAGGACTACCTGTATTTATTTCTATTAGAAGTACATTTCAGGTCTACTTCAGCCTAAATATCATAGAATTCCAGAGATGCTTATTTCTGTAAGTATGTGTTTTAGTGCAGTGCCTAGATGCATTTGTTCTGGGCCAGGAAGTTCCTAATTCAAGTTTCATCTCCTACAAACTCTCAAGATGTAGTTGGGCAAACCATTAACCCTCAGGCCTCCTCCATTAGCCGCACTGAGTAATTGCAGCTCCACTTTTCAGATTTTATATAAGATAACTGAGATAAACTTCGCAAGCTCTATTTTAGGTTTTTAAGCATAGTTGTATCATAATTCTGTTGGCTTTTGCTATCTGAACCAGTATAATAAGATGTGAGCTGCTCATGTGTCATTTTTAAGGGGTCGAATATGTGCTTTGAATGTAAAAATCCACAACCAAGTTGTCCTTAAAACTGGAGACCTACAGTAATGTTGAGAATTTCAACCACAGTTTCCTGTAATGCCACTAAGCGCCGGTAATTCTAAAACACTAGAAAACGATAGGTTGAATACTGTTGTTTTACAAAGATTGTCTCAGATATTTTATCCTATCCCCCTTTTCTCCAGGCAGCTTATACTATTGAAACAGTGTTTAATAATAGCTTTCAATATTTCTTAAAATCCAGCCCTCTCATTCAGCATTGTGGAGAAGAAAAAGCCAACTGAGTAAAAACCCTATAATGCAATTGTCTTTCCAGAGAGAGAGAGAGATTTCTTGAATTCTTTGTTGTAGCTAAGAATTAAAATGCTGATCAGCAGTTCTGCAGAGAGCTGGCTCAACTATGCAGTGTGCAGAAATCATGATGTAATCTTCCTTTTTGGTTTGTTTTAAAAAAATTGCAAGCACTGTAATAACTCACTTTGGCCTTCTATCTCTCTCTTATTGTTTGTTGCTTCTATTTTAGGGTGTGAACGGAATGTCTGTGGATGAGAAGACTGAATCCCCCATGTATGTGTATGAGTCAACAGTCCATTGTACCAATATCCTCCTATGCCTCAATGACCAACGGAAGCAGGATATTCTCTGTGACGTGACTTTGATTGTGGAGGGCAAAGAATTCCGAGCCCATCGGGCTGTGCTGGCTGCATGCAGCGAATACTTCTTGCAGGCGTTAGTCGGGCAAACAGAAAATGACCTGGTTGTCAGTCTGCCAGAAGAGGTATAGTATGCCATTGTTTATCAGTCACTTTAAAAGAGCCTTTCAAACTGGGTAGCTAGGAGAGAAAACAAGCTCCTCTCTTTTGTGCCCAACTGCTTAGGAATCAGAGAAACCTGACGGTTTTGAAATATAATCCCCAAAGCTCTCTGCATGTTGCTCAAATCAGACTCTGCTGGAGGGTGTGTTAATCCTGAGAAGGAGAGTGGGATGCTATGCTGAAACAAGCACCCTCGGGTCTGCAGGGTTAGAGAGCAAAAGCAAAGGAAACAGCCTGCCAGGAGCAAGGAAACATCAAACGAGAAGGAAGGAAGAGGGAAAGCAGGAAGAGGTCCAAGCAGCACAATGGACAGAGTGAATCCTTCGTCCAGTGCTTTAAAAAGAATATGTAAAAACATGACCACCCTAAGCCAAATTGCTGTGCACTTTAGGGAAGAAAGCATCTCAAAGCTAAACCAGAAGCAGGATGATTAATTCTGCTTCACTAGTTCAGATTTCCTTTGAAAGACCTCCGTGAGACTTAAACACACAAAAGATTCTCCATTTTTACCCTACCCAAGTGCTGGGATCCTTTGGGAAGTTTTTGTACCTGGGTGCATTGCTAAAGGAAAGAAGGTGGCTTGCTAAGATTTGGGGTTGAAATTGACTATTGTGCAGGTGTAATTTGCCCAGTGCTTTGTAAATCCTGCCTTGAAAAATAACTTCGCAGATTGGACAAGAGGGGGTTGGGGGGGGGGGGGGAAACATTTAATAAAAAACATCAAAGAGAACAGTGCACTCAGCAAATCTTTTTCCAAGTTCAGTGGTCTGTCAAGGAAAAGAGTTTGCAAGCCCAGATTTGTCAGGTTAAGAGAGGGTCACTGGGACACTTGTGCTTGCCTATACGTAATTGCATAATACTTGAAAATATTTGAAAGAATGCTTGCTTAAGCTTCTTTGCTTGAAAAGTACATAATATATCTTTTATATTCGTCCCAATAGGCTTAATGTGTTGACAGATTCGATAATTGAATAGACCAGACACACTAAAGATCAGCATGTTATCAAACTCCCCAATTAAATAAAAATATTTTTATGACAATGAAATACATTGCACCTGATTTTTAAAATTGCAATCTTCATAGAGTGTCACCATATATGTAAATTATGTAAATTTACTATTGTGCATTGGTTCATTTTTATCCAAGAATTTACTATATGTGGAAAAATATATTGCACAATTTGTGTCGGCACAGTCAATTGATAACAAAGGTCTGAAAATAACAGCAGGATTTCTTCCCACCAAAACCACCTGAAGATTCTCCTACCATAACTCCTTTCTACCCTCATTCATGCATTTGCCATAGTATTTTGTAGTTTTTCTAGTTGTGCATCCTGCCTCTGGCTTAGTTATCTACCTGCAATAGCTATTATGTTACTACTGCAGGAAGATAATATGGGGTCATAAAGACCATAACTTCTTCTCCAATCTGTTGCCCAAAGTCAAAAAGATCCTCTCTAATGCTAGAATCAAAGTTCAACATGTTATGTCATACCAACAAAAAAAAAAAAAAACCCAGGTGAAAGATTCTCACTCCAGTTTCCATAATGACATATTCTGGATTTTGGCAATATGACTTGGAATAAGAAGGTTATAAACTCTCTGTATTTGCTATCAGTAGGCATTTCTCCCTAGAAGACCTAGAAAAGAGGAGAAGGCATTCAGCAAGGCTTCCAGTGAATTTGGTCTGGAGCAGGTATAGATTTTGTTGGTCTTTTTAGGTTTTTTTTTATAAAATGACCTTGCTTATTCCTTTTTGTTATTCAGCTAATAATTCCTCTGTTACTTGGCCTTTTATGACGATTATGGGTAGGAAGCTCTTTTAATTTTTTGGTGACTTCAGAATATTTTGACCAGAGCTCCTTTCAATCTTAGTCAGTGAAACTGAATTAGTGAGATTTGTACCTTTTCGTAACCCAGTTCAGATATGAATTGTCACCTTAAACAAATCACAAAGTGCTCATCAGAAGTATCACTACTACTAGCAAAGTTGTGTCTCCTTCAAGTTGATAAAGGTGATCTCAGTCAGAGTTAACTCCTTGCCATTTCTTGACAAGATTTATTGTCTTAGCTGCAGAATAAAACTGAAGGTCATAAGATTATTGTAATACAAAAGGGATAAGAAATATTAAATGCATTAAACCTTAAGGATGTGCAATAAATTAATATTTTATGCTAGTCTTGCGAGTTGGATGCAAACCCAATTAGGCATATAAAATGCAATTATTCTATTGAGCCCTGTTTAATTCTATGGGAGTTACATGGTGGATAAGATTGCAATCTAAGTCTCTTATAAAACCCTAATCTTGTATATTAAAAATACATGGTATGTACCTTGGTCTATTTCTTTCTCCTTAAAAAAGTGGATTCATGATTTTACAACACCCTTGTGCACACTGAAAAGGAGGCATCCTTTTCTAAATGCGTGCTGAAATTGGGCCCTATTAAATTCTAGTCAGTCATTTTCTAAGAAAGAGATTAAAATTATAGCCTTGGTTTGATCTCTGTTCCTTTTCATTTTTCTTTATTTACGTGTGGAACCCATTCCTTTTGACAAGACATTCTAATTAATCTTTTCATTCATGATAAGAATTAAAGTAGCAATTGGGAATATTTCCCACTTCCCATCTAGATTACCAGAGAGGGGGGAAAATGTGATAGAAAGACATGCATGGCTGGGAGCCAAGGATATAGTAGGTCATGCCAATATTAGTTGGCAGCCAGCCATTATCTAATTAACATGACTTCATCACTATAAGTAATAATTCTTAGGAAATGATTGAGTCATTTGTGGTGCCATGGTACTTTTATTTTAGAAATAGTCAGTACTGTTTATAGTGGTGTCTGAGTCATTGGATTGCCTTCCCTTTGCCAATTAAAGCAAAGCTGCATTAGTCATAGTGAGCTGAAAGCTGAGTGGAAGGAGATAACACTGGGTTCATTTTTCCCCTGCTCTTGACAGAGTCAGACAACAGGAATTAGCTCCATTGCAAGTAATAGTCTTGGGTCATTCAGGTACAAGCTAATAAACCACCGTCCACATAAAAGTGGTTCATTAGCAAAGGAGCAGAAATGAAGTGCTCTCAGGCTGAAAGAAGGCAGGCCTTCTCTTCTTCAGAAGGTGAAGAAGAAACGACCTGCTAATTAACCAGAGGGCTATGGCTACCAAGCACAGTTCTAGAAGGGAATTTTGAAGCAGTTGCTCTATGAGAATTTGGGAAAGAAAACATCACTGCCTAAGAACAAAATGACATAAGTCATCCCAAGATTTTGCAATTTGTTTATATAGAATAGTAATAGCACTTAGACTTCTATACTGCTTCATAGTGCTTTGCAGCCCTCTCTAAGCGGTTTACAGAGTCAGCGTATTGCCCCCAACAATCTGGGTTCTCATTGTACCATCCATCCATTGGAAGGATGAATCAACCTTGAGCCAGTCAGAATCGAACTCCTGGCAGTTGGCAGGATTAGCCTGCAATACTGCATTCTAACCACTGCGCTACCACGACTCCTCTTCATGCTTTATATTGTAGTCTACCACATGCTGGGGAACTCTTCCTCATGTCTGTTTCAAAAGTTACACCCATCTCACACCCCTGCCTGTAACATGGCAACCCAAAAGACCAGCTGCTTGACAATCTCTTTCTCTCCCAATTTGCCTGTGTGTCAAGACAAAACACTATTTTATACTTATCTCCCATGTGACTGTTATTGCAAAAGAATGCAGATTAGAGACATAGATGGTAAGGTTGGCCGGGTGTTGAGGGAGAAGGTCCAGACTGCATTTAAGGTAGGTGTAGGACAATAAGCAAGTCAAATAGGGGATCACATAATAAAGCTTGACCTTGTTGATGAATTAAAACTGCTGTTAAGTGTCAGTGCTGCTATTAAGAACTAACTAATAATCTATAGACCAAGTGACAGATGGGTCAGGGCTTTGGCTCGGTTTTCATTGTTGTCCAGCATTTTTTATAAAAAAGCTTATGTAGAGGAATTGAAGGGATATTCCTGAAGTTTTAGGGACTTTTTCATGTGCATTTACAGGTAATCCTCAACTTAACAACAGTTCATTTAGCAGCTGTTTTGAAGTTCAGCAACACTGAAAAAGTGACTTACAACCGTTTTTCACACTCGCAGCTGTTGCAGTCTCCCCATGGTCATATCAGAATTCAGTTGCTTGGCAACTGAATCCTATTTATGATGGTTGCATTGTCCTAGGGTCATGTGATCACATTTGGTGTCCTTCTGACAGGTAAAGTCAATGGGGAAACCAGATTCACTTAAAAACTGTGTTACTAACTTAACAACTGCAGGGATTCACTTTAACAACTGTAGCAAGAAAGGTGGTAAAATGAGGCAAAACCCACTTAGCATCAGAAATGTTAGGTTCAGTTGTGCTCTTAAGTCGAGGACTACCTGTATTTATATATATTTAGATGTATATGCTGCTCCAGTCAACTGACTGAGTAGTATACAACTTCCTAACAATTAAGTAACAGCTAATTACAACCAACCTATTCAGGATATTATGATCATCTGTCTCCAGATGCCCTCTCGAAGAGCTATGTTTTGTGGCTCTTCAAGAACAATAAGGGTAGTAGTCTAAACATGTCAGAAGTGGGCTATAGAAAAGCTGTAAGTATTCCCTTCTATTATTCATCTCTGCTTTATACCAACTCTCAACTTGCTGTATATAATAGCAAACTATCAGCTGAGTTGGGAGCTGAAGTTTTTTTGGGGTGGTGGGGCTCTGCTGAAGTTTATTTCAAATCAAAACCAGGATGCTATTTTCTGTAAACATAAAGTTTGCTAAAGTCCATTTTGCTCCTAGACTCAAGAAAACTGCTATTATTTCTCCCTCTCGATGCAGGACTTCGCTGCTCCTAGTGCCAGTCTATAAGCATTGTTTACGATATATCTATTCCCTAGCCTGCTTCAATCATTGCACAATACATAATCAGGA